ACAGATGGCGCTCATTGACGCTAAACATATAATTGCTATTCATTAAATTGTTTTGTCCTCTTTGATGTTCCTCTGATCTCTCGTTCATGGCCGAATGATCGTGATTCATTTTGTTGTTTCTGTTCGTTGTTGATTATTATTCTTCTTTTTTTCTTTATTTATAAATAAAACTAACTTATCTATTATATTCGGTGAATATTATTCAAGCATTATATCATTGAAGTCCGGGTAGGTAGTTTATTATGAATTCTCAGTTTCTTAAAGCAGACATTATCCCCAAACTAATTGTTATTTAGCCTACGTAAATTACGGAGGATAAAGATATAACAAAAACCCCACTGAGAGTCTCACACTCGTTACAGTTATGAATAAGTTTTATACTGATGATGAATTGGAATTGAATTTAGTCTGAAGATGACGAAAAAAGAACAAAACCGTTGAAAATTTACTAATTTTGAAATAAAAAGTTTAGCAGCATTTTCTATTATTATTGAGTTTATTCATATATATACCCTTATACAGAATTATGAAATGAATTTTTTTGTTATCTTTGTCTAATAGATAGTTTGTTTTGCATGGTACAGAAATTCGTTGCCATTTCTAAGGCTTCTCGGACGCTCATGTAGACTCGAAGTCTCTTGAAGTCTTATGAAGTCTCATGAAGTCTTATGAAGTCTCATGAAGTCTTATGAAGTGGGTGTGGGTGTGGGTGTCAGTGTGGATGTGAGTATTGTGTCCTTTCTTACGCACACCCACGCCCACACCCGTACCAACGCTCACATCCACACCCACACCGACACCCACCTACCCACACCCACACCCAGCCACACATCCACAACCACACCCTCGAGCTCTCTATATTTTATTATTGCGGAATGGATAAAAAGCAAAAAGCCAATATTATATTAGTGAGTTTCTGAGCTTTAGAGACAAGGTAACAGCGTGAATATTTATTTTTGACGATAAAGTTAAATATCAGTCAGCATCATAACAAGACAGCAACGATAGATAAAGAAGAAAATGTGCGTATGGTATCCTTGAGTTTAGGCCATTACTTTTGATGTATCAGTTACAATAAAGGGCTCCCACTTCCCGGGTTTTTCGAGAACGACTTAATGAAAAATTCTGAAATTTTTAGGGTAGATAGATCTTGAGTAGTAGAGCAACACAACCTACAGCACTACCAATACTTCGACCATCATCAAAACCATCTACAGAGTTGTGCATACTCTTTTGCTAGGGGGGTAGCGCCATGATTTCAAGCTGAATACCTAATGAATTTTATACCAAATTAAAGCGCGTCGAAAACGAGATTTATTAGTACTAAATAGTAAGAGTTATCAAAACGTTGTAATGTCGAACTTACGAAAGTTTCAGAAATTTTATGCTGCTTTTGGCATAGAAAATTAAGGCGCGAGCAATTCAAATATAGAGTAAAGAATTTTCTTTGGATATTTTTACATGGTTCGATAGAGCTCGTCGAGCTCTACAAAATTGTATATATTTAAAGTTTTTTAAGCCATTTTTTGAGATAAAAAATAAAAAAATGACTTGCGAAATCTTAGAAAATGTTTAAAAACTCGTTTTTTTATATGGAGGAAAAATACTCGATTTTCTCAATAAAATTAGCTTTTTTCACTGTTTTTACTAACAAAGACGCTGCGAAATATACTTATCCGATGCAGCATGAAAAACTGTGTCTAACGAGTATATTTTGAGGCGTCTTTTTTAGTAAAAATAATGAAAAAAGCTAAATTTATTGAGTGAATCGAGTGTTTTTCTTCCCTATAAAAAAAACGACTTTTTAAATATTTTTTAGGATTTTGCAAGTCATCTTTTTAACTGTTTATCTCAAAAAAAGGGCTTAAAAAACTTTAAATGTACACAGTTTTGCTGAGTTCGACGAGCTCTATCGAATCATGTAAAAATATCCAAAGAAAATTTTTTACTCTATGTTTGAATTGCTCACGCCTTAATTTTCTATGCCAAAAGTAGCATAAAATTTCTGAAACTTTCGTAAGTTCGACATTAAAAGGTTTTGATAACTCTTACTATTTAGTACTAATAAATCTCGTTTTCGACGTGCTTTAATTTGGTATAAAATTCATTAGGTATTCAGCTTGAAATCATAGCGCTACTCCCCTAGCAAAAGATTATGCAGAACCCTGTACACAACCTATATCTCAGCCATCATCACAACCTTCATCAAAGGAAAAGCCACACATATATGGAAATTATTAAAATAATGATACTGTACACTCTAAACAAAAAACAGCTGTTAGCGCAATCTCTTGCGGGATTAAAAATGTGAAACACGATGGATCTATTGTTACTAGTTAAATGGAAATCGTTTTGTTCCATTTCTTTGCGATACATTTGTAGCTAACCGTTTATCTAACGCTTTAGAACTACAGTTTCTCTGTCACGGTCTGTGATGGTCAATTAGTTAATTAAATACTAATTAATTAATTACTTAATATGTCTGTCATGGTCTGTAGGGGAGAGGGGTGAAAATTTCTACCCCTAAACACTTCAACACTCTTTTCAGATCGTGTTTCACAAAAGGTTTTTTACGAAACCAAAAAAGGTTCCTCCCACGGGTACACGGGAAGAACCTTTTTCTTGTTTTCGTAGAACAAAAGGTTTCATATCGAACCTCTTCTGGACGGCTGGTAAAAAGGTTTGGTAGCAGAGATTTCCCAGAAAACCTTTTTACCCAATCGAAAATAAGGTTTCGTACGAAGAGTTTCCTAGTGATCTCTACATCAATATGAGTCGTCTTATCTACTTACCCCTGCATCTTTATTACTATGCCTACCCATATGCCTATACTTAACGGCTTATATCTATATGTAACCTCGTATACTTATATCTAACTCCTAATTTCTACAGTTAAACCCTTACTCCTATGCTTAACCCCTTATTCCTATACTTAACCCTTTATTCTTATATCTAACCCCTTATTTCTAGACCTAAGCCCTTATTCTTATACTTAACCCTTTATAACTATGTCTAATCCCTTATTCGTATATCTAAAACCACTAGTTTCTATACCTAAACCCTTATTCAGATACTTGATCTTTTGTAACTATATCTGATCTCTTACAGCTGTATTTAATCCCTTATTTCTATACCGAAACGCTTATCCCTATGCTTAACCGCTTAGAACTATATATAATCCCTTGTTTGTATAACCTCCCCCCTCCCAAATAGACGGCCACCCTATATTAGAAGGCCACCCCCTGTTTAAGGCCATGTCCGAGCAAAAGTTCTAACGCCCTATTAGAAGGCCATGTACTAATTAATTAATATATTTCAAAATTATCGAAATTTTCATAAATATTAATTAATAGTTAAGGAAATATAACCAATTTTCTAATGTTTTTTTGCGAAATCCTTCCTTTCCTATCATAAATAGTACAGTTTTTACAAAAAATGGTAGGTTTTTCAGCACAAAAAACATCTAAAAAACAGTAATTAAAGTTTTTAATTAATTATTAATTTTATAAATGATTTTAATTAAAAACTGGCCAAAAATTGACCCCCAATAGAAGGCCATCCAAAAAGTAGCGATGTGCCAAGACACTGTATAAGGGCATGCCCTTTTATTCTGGGAAGGGAGGGTACCTAACTTGGTACTCCTATGCTTGAATCCTTATTATTACATCTGATTCCCTACTTCTATGTCTAAACTCTTATTCCTATATTTAACTCCCTATAAGTGTATATTTTTGACTATGTTCTTACCCCTCTATAGTTACATCTATACCCTAAGACGTATACCTTCATAGCTGTTTCTTAAACTTATCCTGTCACATCTATACCCGTTCACTTGTATTTTTATGTGTATATCGTCACCTGTGTGCCCTTCCACCTATGCTCTTGGATATATTCCCTTATAACTATACCCCGTAAGTATACGCTCAATTAGATTCTCACTCTTAATAATATGAATATTGGAGAGCAGTGTCTAATGGTGTATTACATAAGCGAGCAAAGTAGCATGAGAAATAGAGACAATAGCAGCAACTCTTTGTACCTAATACTTTTATATTAGTAAATCAAGTTTAATGACTTCCAATCTCGTTGACTCTTAACGATTGTAGTGTTTACTGGTAATGAAGGATAAACAAAAACATTATTCTATTCATGTAATACCAGATGACTTTAACGAATCAGGAACCATTTTCATATGTTGTCTAGGCAAATTGGTTTACATGGACTTTTTTGACATGCAGCTGATATTAATGGTTTTGTGTAAAAGCTTTCGCTCGTCGACCAGACAGCAAAAGGCTCGGAAAAAGCTTCGACAGGAATCGCTCACACAAAAGGTTCTGTAGAAAACATATGGACCCTTTTTCTTTTCTCAAAGTACGAAAATAGTTCGGAAAGAAAAATATGATACCATCTTACATTGTACGGAACTATGAAAGGTTTCATAAGATAACTATGCAACCTTTCACTGTATCAACCCCATACAGTAGGTTTCATAGAAAAAATAAGAAACTCTTTTGTATCAGACGAAACTATCAAAGGTTCTCTACAAATCATACAGAACCTTTCTTTATTCTACCAAACTATACAGAGTTTCGTAAAGACGATATGAAACTTTTTTTTGATCCTAGGGAGGTACGATGGTTTCATGTCAAAAATGCGAAACTCTTTGCTTTTTTTCTGAACCTAGGAAGGGTTTAGTATGAAAAACACTAAACCCGTCGAATTTTTCTGAACCAAAAAAGGTTTGGCAGGGAAAGTGCAAAACGATTTTCATTTTACGAAACCTAAAAATGTTCTGTATCCAAATGTGAAACTTGTAAGGTTCAGTAATAAACCTATTTTTTTTAGAGTGTAGAAATATAGAAATAAAAAATGTATCAATTTATTGAATCAAAATTAAACGCGAAATCCATAATAATATTGGACGGCGCAACTGGTACTGAAATACAACGAAAAGGTGTACCTATGGATAATGAAACATGGTGCGCACAAGCAAATAAAACTCATCCTGATGTTGTTAAATCAGTTCATGAATCATATATTAATGCAGGATCAATAGTTATAACTGCAAATACATATGCAACATCACCATTATTATTTAATTCATTAGGTTTAGATAATGAATTTTTAGAATTAGATCGATTAGCTGTTGAAATAGCAAAAGATGCTGTAGCAGGAAGACAGATTGCAATAGCTGGTTCTATATCAACAATGAGACCTATAATAGTAGGCACAGATCAACTTGATATTTCAAAAGAATGGACAGAATCAGAAGCAACTAGATTATTTCAATTAAAAGCAAATAATTTAAAAAGTTGTGGTGTTGATTTTTTAATGTTAGAATTATTACGAGATTGTGATTATGCAATATGGGCAAGTAAAGCAGCTATAGAAACTAATTTACCAGTATGGATTGGTATTTCAGCAGAGAAAATAAAAGATAATAAATTAGTAGGGTATTCACATCCTGATTGTTTATTTGAAGATATTGTAATTAAAATAGTAGAATTAAAACCGGCTGTTATTAATGTTATGCATACATCGCCACATATTACTGATGAAGCTTTAAAAATTGTCAGAAAATATTGGAATGGACCAGTTGGAACATATCCAGAATCTGGATCCTTTATAATGCCTAATTGGGTGTTTCAAGATGTTATATCACCAGAGGAGTTAGTAAAAAAATCTATTGAATGGAAGGAACAAAGTGATGTTACTTTATTTGGTGGCTGTTGTGGTATTGGACCTGATCATATAAAAGAATTGAAAAACGCTCTCTTATAAACGTTATTTACTAGACATAGATAGATATAATATATAATGTATGTACATATCAGTAATTGTTTTTATTTTTTATTAACTAGTGTAAGTATAATAATATATAAATATACGAAGTGGCGTGGCGTTTTCGCGTGAACTCATTGTCAATTGTAGTTGCCCATTGATATGTGCGTGCTTTTGTTGTCGATTAGATCAAGCACATAAGAACTTGATAACTATGCTTCGGCTTTTAGAAGTATGCAAATATATAGATGTGCAATCGTTTCTTTGTCGAGGATTCTCAGATCACTCTTTCCATGGAATTGAGATATTTATTGGGGCACCCTGAATATCTGAAGAGAGAAACAATCGTGCAATTGAAGCTCGAGGAATCTTTGACGAGACAAAAACATTGGTGCACGCTTTGCTGTATAATACGAGCCACACGAATGTGGATGTGGGTGTTGGTGTGGGTGTCGGTGGGTGTGCGTGTGAGTTAAACGGTGCCTCATACACCCACACCCATCCAGTTCCCTCTATAATTGGCTTCGCATTTTATTTCATTCTGAAATAGAAGAAACTTATCTAATTGTGAACATCAGACGAACTTTCTTTAAGATGATAAAAAATTAATAATGCTCAATATAAGTAGAATTTTTCAAATAGAGTGAATATTTTACATAGTTTGACAGAGTCTGGGTGTGGGACGTGTGAGTGTGGGTGTGAGTTAAATGGTGACTCATACACTTACATCCAGACCGTAGTTTGTTCTTTTCTTTTCAAAAATTGTCATTGTGTTCAAAGATCTTCGAATTTGATTTGTCTTGTGATCGAACGTAGAAATCATAATGATCTTTTTGTCATAAAACATTTCAGAAGTGATATTCGTCTCGATCTTTGCCATACAATTACCAAGAGATTATAGTATTAATCATTCAAGGATTACATGCGTTCGGAGAATTTCCTCAGAAACTCAATTATGTCCTAGGCAACTAGGTTCAGCGGATATAGGAGATATTGGGTGTGGGTGTGTGGGTATGGGGTATGGGCGTGGGTGTGGGTGGGTGTTTTCTTCTTTACACTGATACTTATATCTACACCCACACCCCACACCCACAAGAAAAATGGGCTAATTTTTATCAATACAATAGAGTTTCAAGCTTGTCAAATTCATGCCAACGTACCAAATATTTTTTAGATCTCTTAGAAGAGTACATATTTCGTAGCATTTATTTGAGATGTCGATTTAGTTCACCATTTGTTCTTTCTCCGATGGTATTTATCTTGGAGGAATCTTCCACATGAAGATACAAATATACAACCACAACGCCCTAATTGGCATTCGACAAACCCGAACAGCAGTAGTATAACTTGAAGAAAGAAACCAAAAATTCGGGAAGCTCCAGGATAACTTTTGTAGCCTGGGGTTTTTGATAGAAGCACGAGTAGTAGTTACCGATCTGTCAGATAGAATGAGAGTGTAATGTTTACTTATGGATAGTAAAAAGAATTTGTCCATTTCTGTAGCTGATGGTGTTTTGTGAGTCTCTCGTGACTGCTGAAGATACTGTTGATGATTGTCATATTGCTAATCAAATATGAAAGCCAAAAACGTTTATCACAGCATGCAACAAAAAAAAAAAACAAGTCTCCCCATCGCAGCTTTGACATTGATGTGTTGAAATTATGTAGTTGAGTAACAAACAGCTCGTTTTGTGATAAAGATTATGTTTGTTTTGTTCCTTCACATATTTTGACGACGCTATCGAACCCCAAATGATCCATGAATCAAACATTATGCATGTGATTATAGAGTAAGTTATTAAGCAACATCTCCAGCTGTTGAAGAATTCAGAATATGATTGACCCATTTGAAATGTATCGTAGTGATGCACTCAAGCTATGTCTCAAAGCTATATATTTATTTATCAGTTCGATTGGTTTGTTGCTTGTTGATTCCCCAAGTAACGAATGGAATGCAATGTAAAAATTCTCTTTTTAGTTAATCTCTATTTTACAGCATCCATCAAAAGCGATGCAAAGATTTATCTTATCAAACGCTTCACATTTGTGTCATTGCAATGGTTTCTATTGTCAATGATTTTATTGGACAATTTTTATTCGAAGCTGCACGACTTCGATCGTCGAATAGAGAATATCAAAAAGTTGTTATGCATGCAAAGAAATTGTTTTCTAGTGTTTCATTATGAAATAATACTTACATGGATTAGAAAAAACTGAAGAAAAAATACAGAGTTGTAGCCGGTACGATGTATTAAGATACGGATGGGTGGTGGTTAATTAATTAGTCATAAATAGATTTCTCAGATGATTTTCGATCAAATTCAAATTTTAAATACAATTGGTAGCAAGTACAATGAGTAGATCACATGTGACAAGTGTCGTCAAGCATGTTTCATAAATAGGTAGGGGTGTGAGTATGTATTTACCAAACGAAGACACAGACTCACACCGCACACTCACATTCAACTTTTCATCTCTAGTTTATTCATTGTATTTTTCGTTTACAACAAACTTTTCATCCAGTACACATGGAACATAGCACTCAAAGAGAGCGAAGAAATTTCAAAGAAGTTTTGGTTATCGAATATAGATATCAGCTTTATTAATCTTTGTCGGTCGCAGTGAGAGCGGTATAATCCTCTTCGTTATTTGCACTTTATTTCATTTTTTTAACGATCAGTTGTTGAAGTGATACATTCATTTTTATGGAGTATCATGAGCATAATTTTGTGTATTATATTTGAAGCATTTTCAAGAATAGTGACATCGATCAATTTTATTGTTAATAGATCCTCTACACTGGTAAAGTGGATGGCCACGTTGAGGTCTGAAATGGAGCGGTTGAATGAACTAGTAAATCCTGTTTAAATGCATTCTGCTTTGCAAATGTTTTGATCTGCAAGGTAAAATTATATTGACCATGAGTTTTGGATTATTATCTCCTAAATAGTTGGAAACAGAAAAATAACCTCATTCATTATTGCGCTATCTCTTAGATATATTCAATGAATGTATCTATTACAAAGACGTTTATGAAATCTACGCGCAAAGACTTGGCCATTTAAAACTAATCATTTGCGAGAGTAAAAAAATAAACATTGTTATTTAAAACATCAAAGTAATGCCACTGACGTGAAATGTCAAAGATAATCAACACACATTTTTGTATGCAAGGTATAAATGTCCTTATCATGACTCTTCGCGTATGTTAGTGAAAGTGTATATAACTTATCTCGACCTTTTCTCCTTCATCATTATTTGTTATTTTCAACATGTCATCAACAAGCCAACAACGTGTGATCCTTGTTACTGGAGCCAACAAAGGTATAGGTTTTGAAGTTGTAAAGAAGCTTGTAAAAGAATCACCAATCAATAACAATATCATTCTTCTTGGCAGTCGTGATTTGAAACGAGGGCAAGATGCACTTGTTCGACTAGGCTCACCAACAAATGTCTACCTTCTCCAAATAGATATATCATCACGAGATAGTATTGCTCATGCTACAGATGAAATTAAATGCAAGTATGGCGGCCAATTGGATATACTCATTAACAATGCTGCTATTGGAGAACTAGAATTAACTGTTGAATCCGCTCGAGAAGTATTTTCTATAAACTATTATGGTATGAAAACATTGAATGAACATTTATTCCCTCTCGTACGAGACAATGGCCGTGTGATTAATGTAGCAAGTGCATGTGGTCCCAACATGTTATTTGAAGCTTCAAAAGATCTTCAAGAGAAATATTCATCATCGACATTGACCACGGAACAGCTTGATTGTCTTGTCGAAGATTTTATCTCAGCCATTGCTAAAAATACTATCGAAGAACTCGGATACAATCCTAAGTCATCTTATTTAATTTATAGTGTGGCAAAGGCAGCAGTTATTGCTCTTACTCGAATTGAAGCACGTCAATGGTCTGGTGCCAAAGCTGTTCTTATCCTGTCCGTGTGTCCAGGATTTTGTGCTACTGACATTAATAAAAATGCACCCGGTGCTCGGCCTGCAGAATTAGGTGCTGATTCAATATTATATGTCGCTAATGCCCCTCAAAGCGAACTGGAAAACGGTTGTTTTTATCGCGATGGCCAACAGCTACCACAGATTGGATTTATCAATCGTAAAAATTGAAGAACAAGCAAATTATGCAAGAAAGAAAAGACTTCTTCACTTATAGTTTTCTCTTATATATTAGAGACTATCCAAACGAAGTCTAAATCTAAGCATACGTCTTCAATCGATAGTGTTGATTATTTTGCGTTTCAATTTTTATATCACACATGTTTGAATAAGCGGAGCTACGGTTATTTTGAGATACATTTCAAGTCAAAAAGAAAAAATCCTTCATTTTATCTGTCTAAGAAGAGTATACATATAAGAAAATCATTGAATATCCACCATAATATGCTTCAAATACCTCAAAAGACTATTCTAATGGAAATCATGAAACTAGAATAAAACTTGGACTTATAACTCAAACAACCAGTTGATTGTTTTACTAAGTAAGCTATTCGTCTGGTATGGGTATAGATGTATGCATGAGAATCGTTTAGCATAGATGCTACACATCCGTACCCTTTTGGGCTCTCAATGTACCATTATCATGAATTAAAAGTAAGGTGAAAATGCAATGGATCTGAAAACAGCAGAAACATTAATTGATCTGATTTAACCTACAGGCCAGACCAAGCCGAAAAAAGTAGCTTGTTGATAGTTCTGGCTCACACTCAATAATTGTTTATTGCTACAATTTAAACCAACATAGAGAGGGTGCGCATGGATGTTGATAAACTTAATGCCTAGCAACAATGTTCATTGTCTGATAATAGGTTTTCTTCTCATCTACATCGATCCATGGTATACTATGCACTTGCACGCTTTACTTTTGAAATGTTTAGTCGTTTTTAATGAACTTTGCTGTTGAATAATATTTAAATAAAATAAAAACCCGCAAGATAAGATTAGTCAAGTCTTGTCACCTTCTAATACGAATAT